TGGAGGAGGTTGGGGTGTGTGATTGGAAAGGTGGGGGACATGGGGTGAGTGGATGGGGTAAGGGAGGGTGGTGGTGGTGGAGGGGGCGGGGGTGGTGGTGGAGGGGCGATGAAAGTGAAAGGGTAGCGGGTGGAAAGAGAGAGGCAAGCTTTATGTTGCGTTGATTGCGCGATGTGTGTGTAGCAAGCGGGCTCGTGGCAACTGGAGGGGTGATTCGTCTGCGTATGCGGGGGAACACGGATTGCTCCCCAAAAATATCGCAAAATCTCCCAATCACCCCACGTCTACCGCTCTGCCACCTGCCATGTTAGAAAAGCACATGCATAGGTATCAATGAACCCCATCCCGCCCACCATAACCCCTCGTTGCCAGCCGCGTCCCCGCCACAATCGCGTCTTCAACAAAGCCTCACCCCGCGCCGAGTATGCTGCCGCCAACGCCCTTAGCGCGCTGGGCATCGAACCCCGTGGAGTGCCACGCGTACACGAGCGCGGTGCCGACGACGAGCGCCAGCGCCGTGACCACGATCAGCGGGCTGTGCTCCCTGGTGAACGTCGGGATCACCGACAGATCCCCCGTGCGCAGCGCCTGCCTCCTGCGGTAGAATACAAACGCCCCGTACAGCACCAGCGCCAGCGCCACCACCCACGAGAGCCCGACCACCACCAACCGCGTCGGGTCGTTCTTGTCCCCGTCGAACGCCACAAAGATGAACGACCCGATCGCCCCCGTGTGCAGCCCCGTCCACAGCCACTTGAAGAACGTCCGCTCCGCAGCCATGTCCGTCTTCAGCGCGTCCGACACCGCCTTCTGCTCCTTCTTCTTGGTCTTGTCCTTGTCCTTGTCCTTGTCCTTGCCCTCCGCCGCGTCCTTGCCCTCCGCCGCGCCCTCGCCCTTTGCCGCGTCCGCCGCGTCCATCGTACCGTACGTCGACGCCGCGGGCCTGATCTCGTCTTCCTCGCCCTCTGCGGCCCCGCTGGCGTGCACCACCAGCGAGGACAGTGGCGTGCTCTCGCGCGCGGCCCCGAGGCGGTCGCCCGTCTCCTCGGCGGGGAGCAGCGGCTGCTCGACGTCCGCCTCATGCTCTGGCGCTTCCACCATGTCTGACTCGGAGCCCGACGAGGGGACTAGCACCTCCGTCTTGCTCTTGCTTCACGCGAGTCTGTCCCGACTCTGCGCCCACCGTCCCGCACTTGCTTCTGAAACAGAACCAGAGTTGCACCTGCCTCTCGTGCTGTGCGCGCGGTGCATCTGACCGCGCCTGGGCCCCTTTCTGCGGAACAGTTGGTCTCTGATGATCTGCCAACGCTGCTGCTCCGGTACAATCTCGCGCCTGCGCACGTCCGGTGACTCGACCCTACGGTACGGTTTCTACCGTAATGTACACGAGTTGCAGCAGTCTCACGCGGCGTCCCACGTGTGTGATATTATTTGCAACCGCCCAAAAACACGCAATTCGGCACCAACTACAACGCTTGGACCGGAGCCAATCCTGCGCCTCCTTCGGCAACACCTCCTGCATCCGCATCCCCTGAATCCATCCTCGCTGCAAGTCCACGCGTAAACCTCTCTGTTACCATGCCATCGCCGGTCGCTCCGGCCTTCCTCGCCCCCGCCCTCCCCGCCCGCCTCCCCCCTTCCAAGCGAACCCGCCTCACCCCAACCCGCCCCGCAATGAGTTACTCAACCTCTGTCGGCGACGTCCCCGCCAAGGCCGCGGAGGCCGTGTTGGCCGCCTCCCGCTCCGCCATTGCGGAGCGCGGCACGTTCTCCGTCGCCATTTCCGGCGGCTCGCTGCCCAAGCTGCTTGCGGCTGGCCTCACGCACGCGCAACTCCCGCTGGACAAGTGGAATGTCTTCCTCGCCGACGAGCGCATCGTCCCGCTGACCGACGATGACTCCAACTTCCGCCTCGTCAAGCAGTACTTCCCAGACATGCACGTCGTCCCGATCGACCCGACCCTCTCCCCGCCCGAGTGTGCGCGCGATTACCAGAGGAAGATCGTCGACAAGCTCGGCGAGGCCCCCGTGTTCGACGCCGTGCTGCTCGGCCTCGGCCCTGACGGCCATACGTGCTCGCTGTTCCCGGGCCACGAACTGGTGCGTGGCGCGATCTTCCCCTCCCGCACCTCTGCTTCAACCACACACTACGCCCCGTTCGACGCAAATCTAACCGCGATCGCCCACCCACCCTCCCGCGTTTCCCTGCCCGCGCTCGCGCTCGCGCGCGCAGCTGGACGAGACCGACAACATTGTCGCCCCGATCAGCAATTCGCCAAAGCCGCCGCCAAAACGCGTGACACTGACGCTGCCGGTGCTGGGCGCCGCGCGGGCGGCGATGTTCATCTGCACGGGAGCCGGCAAGGCCGGCGTGGTGAAGGACATCCTGCAGGTAAGGCTCACCCCCCTCCGCTTCCCCCCACGCGCGCGAAGCAGCCCCGATCTGACCCGAGACCAATTGCGCGCAGAACACGGACTCGAAGCTCCCTGGCGCGCTCGTGCGCACCGCGGGGCCCGTCCAGTGGTTCCTGGACGAGGGCGCCGCGGGCGAGCTGTAGCTAGATGGCGTTGTAAGCGCGCAAAGCGGATAGCGAAGATAAAGGTGTTTTCGTGACGATGGCGGTGGCTTTACATAGCGGGGACAGGGGAGGTGCGGACGTGTCTATTGGTCGGGCTGTTCGGCGGCGGTGACCTCCTCGCGGATGCGCTTGTCGCGCTTGTCCATAAGGTGCGAGAAGTAGTCGCGCTGGACCTTTTTGTTCTGCGGGCGGTGGCGTGGCGGAGGGGGCGGTTAGCTGTGGTGTGTGGATCAGCGGGCGGGAGGCGCGGGGCGGAGCGGGGCGGGGGGAGGGGGCACGTACCTTGCCGTCGTTGAAGCCGCGGTGGACCGCGGCCTGTAGCGAGCCCATGGCGGCGAGGGCGCCCGTGATGATGATGAGGGGAGGCATGGCCTCGAGCCACGTCATGGTGAGAAAAGGTGGGGGGCGGGCGGAGCGCAGCGGACGTTGATGCGGTGGGGGGGAGAGACGGTGCGGTCGGGGAGGTCGATGGCGATGAGGCGGAAGAGAGGCAGAAGCGAGGCGGAAGCGGTGGACTGATTTTGACCGAACACGCGAAGGAAGCGCAAGGTGAGTACAGTGTGAATTACAGTAGAGGAGGTGGCCACGTGTGTGTGAAGTACACGTGGCACTCCAAAACAAAAGGACAACGTCGTCGCCCTCCGCCCCACCTAAACATCCTCCCGTTGACAACAAGATTTCCTTGCAGCATGGCGATGGACGCGAAAACAACAGAAGACCAGGCTTCATCCGACGAGGAGAGGAGTGGAGAAGGTGCCACCCCGGGCGCTGTGCACGCGGGCGAAGCGCTGGCCGCAAGCGAAGGCGACACTGCGCCGAGGGCGAACGGAGAGGAGGCCGATGTGGACGAGGCCGAGGTGAATGAGGCGGGGGCGGACGTGGAGGAGGCCAAAATGGAAGAGGCCGAGGTGATCGAGCCGGAAGCAGACGGGACAAAGGCGAATTTGCCGGAGAAGAACGGGCCGGTGGTGGACGACGCTGAGGTGGAGGGGCCTGAGGCGGCCGCGGCGCCCTCGGCGACCTCGAAGCGGCGCAAACCAAAGACGGGGGTGGTATACCTCTCGCGGGTGCCGCCGGGGATGGAGGTGGGGACGATCCGGTCTCTGCTGGGGCGCGTGGGGGGGATCGGGCGGGTGTACCTGCGGCGCGAGAGTGCGGAGTCGCGGCGGACGCGGGCGGAGCTGGGGAGCAGGCGGACGCGTGCGGAGTGGCGGGACGGGTGGGTGGAGTTCACGCGGCGCAGCGCGGCGAGGCGGGCGGTCGGGCTGCTGAACGGGCGGGCGATGGCCGGGGCGAAGCGGCGCGGGAGGTGGGCGGACGACCTGTGGTGCATGCGGCTTCTCAAGGGCTTCGAGTGGGCCGACCTGGTCGCCGAGACCGGGACCGGCGGCAGAGAACGCGTGCTCAAGGTCAGGGCAGAGGTGGCCGCCGCGAGGAGGGAGAGGGCGTTCGTGGAGGAGAGCGTGGCCAAGGGGAGACGCATGGAGAGGAGGGCCGAGGCCGGCGAGGGGGGGAGGAGGGGCGGGAGGGTGTTCGGGCAGAAGAGGGTGATTGAAAGGGAGGAGGAGGAGGACGTGGATGAGAGGAGGGCGCGCAAGGCGATGGAGAGGGCGGATAGGGGAGAGACCGGTGCAGTGGATGGGGAGCTGGCCGGGCTGTTGTTCAAGAAGAGGCGGACTGGGTAGGGAGTGCGGCACCCGTGGGGCACGTGGGGACGTGTGGCTCGTGGCAGGCGTGTTCGCATGGCGGAGAGGGTCCTTGCTGGTACTGGTTCCTTGTTGGGAGGGTGCGTTAGGAAAGGGAGGGTGTGGACATGGGCGTATGTGCTGATTGCTACATGTAAAAGGCGCTCATCCGAAGAGCCGGGCGGACACATCCTTGAATTGCTCAGGCTATACTTCGAAGTAAAGAAGTATAAAGCTACAAAGGGTGCGAGTCGCAGTCGCGTCGACACCACGTCGCCTGTCGCTGCTCGGCGCCTTCCTTGCCATGTGGCACGCCGCCGTTGGCCACCGCCCCAGCCGCGATCCCTCTCGCGCCAATTATGGACCGGGAAACTGCACCAGTGCGGTAGGGCTTCCACTCGAGCGCTTCCCACTTCTCTTCTTCGCATTGCTCTTTGCGCATCCCCACCAACGCCCGCCCGTCGTTCTCCACCAGGAGCTAACTAGGATTCTCGCGGCGCCCTCCGCCACCATGTCGCTCATCGCGCCCACATTCCTGCAGCCTGCACCCCTCCCCGCCGCGCGCGCTGCGAATGTCTCGCTGTGCCGCAGCCGCCACCGCCGCCGCGTCGTGCGCCGTCCGCGCGTCTGCGCGCCGCCGCGCGCGTGCATTCGACGCTGCGAGTCTCTCTCTCATAGGACAACCCCGCGCCTGC